CGCATCACCGGACCACTGTCTGGTCCACCTCTGCAACTCTCCCTCCCTTTCAACTTTCAAACGAGGAAGATGAAGTTTGGTCCCTTGGATGAAGCCTGAAGTTGGACTTTGTATGCAGATCCATTGGCCACGATTTGTTTTGAGAATTTGAACTTTGGATTGAAACGATGCATTTCATTAAATGTGCTGGCAGCGTGTGAGACCTCAGATCAGGAGACTTAGTCTTTGCATCCAACGCTCCCCTTTTAATCTTGCATTTTATTTGTTTTTTTATTCATTTTCTTTTATTTTAATTGCATTTTCTTTCTTCAATTCATTTTAATTTCATAAATCATCAGAAAAATAAAATAAAAATGTGCTCATGCTCCTCATTGTATTTGTGATTTTTATGTGATCTTACATTTGATTTTTGCTTATTTTTCAATTTAATTTGATTTTCTCCATTTTATTAATTTCTTTAATTTTGCATATTTGATACATGATTTTGTTGATTTTTGTTCTTGAAATTGGTATTGAATCTTGGGCTGATTTTTTGCTAGCTGGTAGATTAGAGATGTATGATCCCCTATGATTTAATTTAGATTTTTTAGATAACAATAGGTTCTGTTTTGGATTAGGAATTTTTAGACTTTCCATTTTAGGGTTCCTATGTGGTACCTTGTGATCTAAGATTTCTTTAGGTGACTTCCCTTTAGATTAAGGTTCTGATCCTTTGCCCATAGGTCCTTAACATGCTTAGGTTCCCTTAGAAATTTTCTTATGATTTTAGAATGTGTTTTAGGATTTTTCATAGATTTAAAACTAAGGCTAGTTTTAAAATTCTTCTAACATAGCACTTGCTTTAGATTGACCCCAATGGTTGCCTTTAGTGCATAATAAGCTTGCTAATATTCTTTGTTGGTGCTTAAAACATATTGAAGCTTCTGTTTGCTTGTCGGTGTGGCTTGATTTGGTGTTTAGACCTCTCTTTGATTGCTTTCTTTGAGCTTGTTCACTTAGGGTTTAAGAAGAGCCTAGTTTGCTTTCTCTTTCTTCAAATAAACATGGATTGCTTTGATTGCTTTCCATTCTCATCCTATGATTCAAGGTCCCTATGTGAAAGACTCATCTTTCCTTTGGAAGGATGTGTGGAATTTCACAAGAGGTAGAACCTTTGAGGATGCCTATCTCTGATGACTGGTTGAGTGTCAAGTTGGATTCCTTTGGTTTACTTCCTGCTTCCCATCATCAATCCAATTTTCTTGGTGTTAATTCTCTTCCCTTATGTTGGAGCTTGTTGGAGCATGAAGATGGAGCTTTCCTTATCTTGAAGATGGTTTGAAGTTTGCTTGCAGCTGTTTGATTGCTTGTTGTTTATCTGCTTTGCTGTTGAGTTGTTTGTCTGCTAGTTTGTCTGCTGTGTTTTCTGGCTGCTCTGCTCTGCTTGTGTGACTGATTGACTGTGTGTTGCATTAGACTAGGTTTCTCATATAGTGATATAGGCTTAATAGCATCCTAAAGGTTGAGAATAGCTCCCTTTATTTGTCTGCATCTAGAGGTTGAGTCTGTTTCCCTCTGCTTGACTGTTATTGACTGGCTTTGCTTGCTAGCTTAAGGTTGAGTCTGTCTCCCTTGCCTATGTTTTGTGTGTTGCCTCTGGGATTGCTTGTTCTAGAAGTTGAGCTTGGCTCCTTCTGCTTGTTTATTGCATTGCATGCATTTTATTTATAGTCGTTTCTTTACAGTTATTTTCTTCTGCTGTTGTTTTCCTTTGCCATGTTCCCCTAGGAACTCTGACTTCTCTTATTCAAGAGAAGTTATGACAGACATTAGGGTTTTAACCGTGCATGATAACATTAGTTAGTTCCCTCCTAACCTCAACTATAGGTTCAATTTTGCATGAAAACTTTAGGATTGAATCAGTTCCCCTTTAGTGCGTCTTTCCTCTTCTCATCTGCAAACAAATCAAAATACAGTAATAAAGGTTAATTGACATCGTACGCTACGAGCCTTAAGCTACTTGAGAAAGGATTGTTGGAGAGTTTCTTTTCAACAGTCTGGATGTTTAGTATGGCACCCTTTGGGTGACATGCGACGCATTCACTCTCAGGTCATAGTCTCTAGTGCGATATCAGTTGCAAACATCCATAAAAGATACTTCTCTAAAAAAACAGAAAACAAAGTTCAAACTCTTTTTGTCCGCTTGGACCTTTAATCCCTTGGAAGGAGAGTTCTGTTAACTCCCGGTTCTACCGTAAACGGTAAACGCCTAAGTCTCCGTCGAGCGAGCTGCATACACCAAACTGCTGGAACCGTCTGTTAACCCTACTCGGATAAAAAAGACAAACCTGTGTCTCTCATATCCCGAACTATGTTTGCTCTGATCTTTCATACCAGATGAAAGTACGTAGGCACAAGACGCGATGTCTTGGCAAGCAACCTTTCCCCGTAGTTAGGCGAACTACGTTGACTCTGATTTCTCGTTCCAGACGGGAATACGTAGGCATAGAATTGCCGTGTTCTGCCGAGTCATTTTCCTTTCTTTTTCAGACCAGACCTTTAGAGTAGATAGTTATAACAAACTCGTCAGTTAAACACAACAAGCATGGATCCCATCGAGTACGATGGACGTGAGGGGTGCTAATACCTTCCCCTTGCGTAACCGACTCCCGAATCCAGACAATGGTTGCGATGACCTTGTCTTATACCTTTTCGTCAGGTTTTTTCCGATCGTTTCCTTTCCCGTTTTGAGGGATAAATAACGAAAGGTGGCGACTCTTCTGTCTTGCCGGCCTCGTTTTTCGCAGTAGCGACATAAATGTCATCTTAATGATTGATTTTACTGAATTATATTTAAGAAAATTCTGTATATCAATATTCATATTATGCATGTTATTTTTTTCATAGATTCCTTTCGAAAACGATAATCATAATCGAATCACAGTCAAATATTAGTCGTAGACACTTCTCTCAACTAAACTTTGAAAATTGATACATTATGTTATGTGAAACAAGTTTTTTTAGATCCAACTTTGTTGGTAATGTGATATTTTAATCGATGGAACATATGTTTAATGGGTTCAGAGTTATCGATAGCGGCCGATAGCAGCACTATCTCGAGATAGCGGCCTAGAGCAGTGACCTTCCCCTATGGCATCTATTTGATGTTTAGTAGGTAGCGAGAGTGGAGGGATTTCTGGCTCGAACGAGTTTGAACTGTTTTGAAGGCGAAAAACCATATTTACCCTTAAAATAAATAATTGTATGAGGAGTTATAAGAGGAATTTTTCCAATTTTCCCTAACTCAGAAAACAAAACAAGGGATCCAAACGACTTCTCACACGATTTCACTTTAGTTCTCAGAGTTTTCTCACAATCTTCTTTCCAGTGTTGTCTCTATTTGCTTGGTTTCTTAACGCCGCCACCTCTGTCTACTTTGTTTTTTAATATAGCTGCCTGCAACCTTCTCCTCAAATTAGTTTTTAGTGTTTACTCATCTGTTTTTCTTTCTTCTTTCTTTTCTCTTTTTTCTTTCTTTCTTTTCTCTTTATCATCTTTATTTTCTTTGTTATCTCATTTTTAAAGTCTTTTTTCTTCTTTCTTTTCTCTTCTTTATTATTCTTTCATTTCTCTTCAGTATTTCTTTATTATTCTTTCTTTTCTCTTCGATATTCATATTGTCCTTTGTTGTTTTTAAGTAATAGTTATTTAAAAACTTTATTTCTCTTCTTTCTTTCTTATTTGTTTGATTTTACATTAAATGTGTATTTAATAAATTATTTATATAAAAAATAATTAAATAGCAGTTATTCTATTATCTGCGCTATCCCGCTAACTTATTTTTGGTGGGATTGATAACTTTATAAGTTAAATTTTAGTTTGGTTTAAATATTACTTAAATTTTAGTTTGGTTTAAATATTAAATGGGTTAGATGAGGAGTTGTGGAGGTTCTTTTGATATTTTGGGAGTATGCACTTAAAGGGAATAATAATAATATTTTTGGTGGGATTGATAACTTATGGGTTAAATTTTAGTTTGGGTTAAATATTAAATGGGTTAGGTTGTGTAGTTTCTTTTGATATTTTGGGAGTATGCACTTAAAGAGAATAATAATAATATTTTTAGTGGGATTAATAACTTATGGGTTAAATTTTAGTTTGGTTTAAATATTAAATGGGTTAGATTGCAAGTTGTGGAGGTTCTTTTGATATTTTGAGAGTATGCACTTAAAGAGAATAATAATAATATTTTTAGTGGGATTGATAACTTATGAGTTAAATTTTAGTTTGGTTTAAATATTAAATGGGTTAGGTTGTGGAGTTTCTTTTGATATTTTGGGAGTATGCATTTAAAGAGAATAATAGCAATATTATTATTAATAAAAATAATAGAACAATTCACTTCAAATATTGTACCATTCACAAGTGAGACAAGAGGCTAAGTATTCTTTTTTTTTTGGCGATAGAGGAGAACTGTTGATCACTTACAATATTTAACTATAAAAATAGAGTTAAATATGTTTTAGATTTAATATAATTTAATAGAGTTAAATATTTATTAGACTTAATATAATTTAAAATTTTGTTTTTTAATTTGTTAAAATTTCCTTCAAATTTTCTTTATAAAATTATCCTGCAAAGTAGGCTTAAATATAAAAATAGTATTTTTAAATATATTTAAAAAATACTATAAAAGGTTTATGTACAAAAATGAAATAAAAATTTGATTTCTAATTCAATTTTTTGTTATTTTTATCTTAAACTTATATTTTTTGATAAAAAAATTCAAAATTTCAAAAAATTATTTTTTATAATGTTCTAAAAATACCTTCAAACAATGAAAATTTAGAAAATTGGAGGATATGTCTTTACTTCTTATTTGGGGGGATAAATTTTACATTTACTAAATGGTTTAATTAAATAAATAATCAATAAAACACCAATGCAAACTGAAAGTTACACTGCTGGATTTTATAAATAGGAAAGCTTTTAGACAGGAACATAGCATATACAGCAGCATCATGAGTATGTCTTCAATGTTACTCTTTTTCTTAGCTCAATCTAAGTCTTGTTTCCTCTCTATCATTACAGCCTTTCTAAATATTCAAATACTTTTTAAGTCTAATTACATTTTCTCACCCTTTCTATGGTGTTGCTTAATAGCATCAATATCAACCTTTTCCTTAAAGAAATGCTCAAAAAAAGTATATCTGGTAGATTTTGCATGTCATAAACCTTTACCTAGTTGCATTTGTAGTAAGGAAAGGTTTATAGAAAACATAAAACTTGCGGGATGTTTTAGCGATGAGAGCATAAAATTCCAAAGAAAAATAATTGATAGGTCTGGATTTAGTGACAAGACTTATGTGCCAGAGGACTCATTGAAAAACCCACCTATTATTTGCACTCTAAATGCAGAAAAGAAAGAAACAGAATCAGTGATTTATGCTGCAATTGATGAGCTTTTGTTGAAGACAAAAATGAAGGTTGAGGATATTGATATTCTTATAACAAATTGTAGTGTTTTCAGTCCTTCACCTTCTCTAAGTGCTATGGTTGTTAACCATTACAAACTTAAGGAACAAGTTTTGTGCTATAATTTAAGTGGTATGGGTTGTAGTGCTGGACTCATAGCAATTGACCTTGCTAAACATCTCTTAGAGGTAAGGATCTATATTAGATACTGAATGTTATTTATTTTTTTATTTTGATTTGATTTTTTTATATGCATAGGTACATCAAAATTCATATGCATTAGTAGTGAGCACAGAAAATCTCAACAGTGGAGGGTACAAAGGAAACAACAAATCAATGCTTATTACAAATTGTCTATTTCGTTTAGGTGGTGCAGCAATCTTACTCTCAAACATTTCTTCTGATTCTTGCCGTTCAAAGTATCTTCTTAAACACACGGTTCGCACACACACAGGTTCACAAGACACTTGTTACAATTCAGTCCTTCAAAAAGAAGATGAAACAAACAAAATCAGAGGCATAGCACTTTCCAAAAACTTAATGAGTTCAGCTGGTTTAGCACTTAAAGAAAACATCACCACACTTGGAAAATATGTTTTGCCTTTCTTAGAACAATTCAAGTTTGCTACAACTTTTCTTGTTAAAAAGTACTTTAACAAGAATATGAAGGTTTATACACCTGATTTTAACTTGTGTTTTGAGCACTTTTGTATTCATACTGGTGGAAAAGCTGTTCAAGATGAGATGCAAAAAGTGCTTGGATTAAGTGATTGGCAAATAGAGCCTTCATGGATGACACTTTATAGATATGGAAATACTTCAAGTAGTTCTGTTTGGTATGTTTTGGCTTATTGTGAAGCGAAGGGAAGAATAAGAAAAGGTGATAGGATTTGGCAAGTTGCATTTGGTTCTGGATTTAAGTGTAATACTGCTGTTTGGTGTGCATTAAAAAATGTTGATCCAATTGAGGAGATTAATCCTTGGAGTGATGAGGTTCATGAGTTTCCTGTTGATGTTTGAAATTCAAGTGGGGATTTTGTATAATATAAGTTGCTAATATATATAAACTAGAATATGTACATCTGGGGGATATATTTCTATCAAATCAAATTTGTCCAACTTTGTATATTACATTACAATATATATATATTAAGGGTTGCTGAATCAGCTAAATGAATATATAAGACTTTAAACTCGAGAATAAGACATACCAGGATCGTCAAATCTGTCTACAGCAGGCCCCGAGGGGGAAATGCATAAACCATCCAAGCTTTGACAGTAAAACCACATAAAAACTAACAAAAAGCAGAGCTTGATGGCGGAAACATAGCAGTGACCTGGCGGAAACAATTGAAGCTACAGAACTGTAAGAGAAAAACAAATTTGAAGAGCAATCTGCCTAGGCCGCTTGAGCCGCAACTGCACAAAAATCAGTTAAGGTGAAAAATCTGTCATTTTCCTCCCCGACTGACAAACTGAACCTGAACCCAACTGCAAATATAATTAACTATTAATCTATTATCTACTTAAATGCCATTATCTTTGACCTGACTGACACTGATAGAACAGAGGTCTGATATAATACGATAAAGAAAAGTATTTTATTAATGACTATGAAAGTAAAATAAATTCCAGAGCTATTGCTCCTCAGTCAGAGAAACTATTCTCTCACTGCCCAAACCCTAAGGTCAAAAACAGAAAATCAATTAATGCCTAACTACTGCCCCATACACTCCTCTTTATATGGAGAATAATCCCTAAACTAACTCCTATTTATATGGAGAATAATACCTAAACTAACTCCTATTTATTTGTGGAGTTTCCTATTCTTTCTCACATATACCCTCCATTGTTTAGGTCCAATAATATCTCTATTAACTAACACATTCCCATCATCATTTGTGGGATCCGATCCATTCCTATCATCACCCCCACCTACAACATTAGCCTTGTCCTCAAGGCGCAGATCAGGGAATTGACTCTTCAGCAATAGTTCCTCTTCCCAGGTAGCATCTCCAACATCCATCCCTTCCCATTGTAACACACTGCTGACCTTGGCAGGATCAACAGCAACCCCTGCTTTGGAAATGCTTTGGAAAGTAGCCATCTTATCATCTACAGCCTGACCAAGTAGTTTCACCATACTGCCTTTATGGTTGAACTCCATAGACATTTCTTTCCAATCCATGGTCACCTTCCCCAACGTTTCTAGCCACACAACTCCTAAAATCAAATCCGCACCTCCTAACTCCAACACATAAGCATCAAAGCAAATCTGCACTGATCCCACTTTCATCTGAATTCCATTGCATCTACCCCTAGTTAGGACACGATGACCATCTCCTAATTTAACACCCAAAGGATTAGAAGGCACCATAGACAATCCCAGGGCTTCAACCACCTTAGGTGATATGAAATTATGTGTGGCTCCACTGTCAATAAGTACCAGAATTAAGGCACCTTTTAAACATCCCTCCAATTTCATCCTCCGGACCTGATTTGGGTTAGTGGATACACCAACCAGCCCCATGGTTTTACATTCTAATTCCTCTTGTGTGAGCTCTTCTTCCGTCGCAGCCTCCAACACCACAATCTCTCCTGCATCGTTAACAATCTCGTCATCCCCCAAGATAATCAATCGTAACTGTCTTGTTGCACATTGATGGAGAGGATCCCATCGTTCGTTGCAACGAAAACAGAGTCCTTTCGCACGGCGCTCATTAACCTCTGCACTTGGTAGATGGCGAACACCACGAGATTGACGGCGTGAATTGTCACCTAAATTTGGGCGAGAAGATGCTGTAGAATTGGTAGGACGTGTTGAGACGGTTTGAGATCCAGAATCCGAACCAGTCCGCGTTTGGCCCAAAGAATTATTAGGCTGGGTCTGAGTTGCAGATCCGTTCCCTTCCCCTTCGCGAAAAGCCCAATTAGGCTTTTGAGATTTTGTCCAAGAACCATGACCTGGTTTGTAACGTGCTCCAGAACCTTGTCCAGAAGCCACTGCAAATTCACTTTCAACATCACGAGCCAATTGCATTGCTAGGTAACGATTGCGAGGCTTGAAGGTACGCACACGAGAACGAATATCATGACGTAAACCACCAATGAAATAACCTAGAAACTGTTGTTCTGGCAAACGACCACACTGTGAAGAATACAGTTCGAATTCAGCAATATATTCCTCTACTGATTCCGATTGTTTTAGTTCCTTTAATTCCTCAAACGGATTCTCCAAACGCCCACCTCCAAATCGAACCATCATCGCCTCACGGAGGTTCTCCCATGACACTTCCTCTGTTGAATCATGCCATAGGTTAAACCAATGGATAGTAGGGCCTTCCATACTCAATTTGGTCAACTGAATACGAACATCCTGCGAAATTCGTTGTACCTCAAAGTATGTCTCTGCCCGAGTGATCCATGCAACCGGATCGTCACCGGTAAATGCCGGCAACTCCACCTTCTTCGCAGATAAACGAAACTCATCCAGCGGTGAGGAAACTGCCGCACTGCTTGGCTGCGACACTTCACGATGAGCCATTGCACGTTGAATCTCAGCACCAATGAACTCTCGTAACGCAGCAATGCTAGCCTCAACACCTTCCAACCTTTCTTCCACTGCAGAAACACGGTCAGCCATCTTAGGAGCTTTGGGCATGAACAATGGTAGGTCGGACCAATTGATAGAACAGAGGTCTGATATAATACGATAAAGAAAAGTATTTTATTAATGACTATGAAAGTAAAATAAATTCCAGAGCTATTGCTCCTCAGTCAGAGAAACTATTCTCTCACTGCCCAAACCCTAAGGTCAAAAACAGAAAATCAATTAATGCCTAACTACTGCCCCATACACTCCTCTTTATATGGAGAATAATCCCTAAACTAACTCCTATTTATATGGAGAATAATACCTAAACTAACTCCTATTTATTTGTGGAGTTTCCTATTCTTTCTCACATATACCCTCCATTGTTTAGGTCCAATAATATCTCTGTTAACTAACACATTCCCATCATCATTTGTGGGATCCGATCCATTCCTATCAGACACTAAAGTATTAAACTCAGAAAATATCTCCACTGTGAAAAATAGAATTACAAATTATCTTAGTACAAAAGGATATCTCTCAATCTTGCCCCCACGCAGATAGTATGTAATATCTTTCAGCGCTCACCAAACAATGATGGAACAAAACTCACTCTCAAAGAGGTTAAAACACTATTTCTCCCTATCGCTCTTGAATTTTCTCTTTTTTTGGATGAAATGATAAAACTCTTCACAAATCCTCTTATTTATAGGGGAAGGATGTGGTTTAGAAACTTGAAGATAAATAATGGATAATCAATGCTTAGATTTACAAGATTCTTGTAAATTTCATCTTCACATTTCTTTAAGTTTGATCGTGTAATCTTGAAGTTCAAAAACCTTGGAATGTATGTCTTCTTTTTTCATGTGTTGAAACTGTTTTGATTATTTGACTATGATTCATCAAGAATACCCACATTAGGTTCCATATTAGAGTTATTAGTATTAGCTTAGTGTAAAGCCTCTAACTAACTGTGTTGATTTAGTGTCTGAATATGATAGTAGTCTGCCCCTAATTAACCAATTTTTGAATTGGTCTAATTCTTGGAAGTTGGATTTTGATGTGCTTCTAAGATGACTTGTCCTTGATTGAGCTTTTAAGGGATTTATCCTAGATTCATAAGGTTGTGAGGTAGTCTTGATTCGGGGCAACACTAACGAAAGTTTAAGTTCCTCTTTGATTGCTCCTTGTTGGAATTTCCTTAATGTCAAACACTGATTTGCAGATAAAATCGTTCATTCAAAAATGGTAATTTTAATGCGATACTCATGCAAATTTTGGAAAAATTATTTATTGGAATGATGTGGTAGTGTGTGACGAAAGGACCATTAGTCCAAGCGCAGTGTTGATTTAGCTAGTGTGTGAAAAACACAGCGAGAAGAATGACACCAATTCAGAAGATTAGCAAATTTCTAGGAGTCAATTTACGCAACCTTGCAGTAATATGCTTTCAGAATAAACCCCGGTTCAATTAAGTCTTTTAAGGGTTGTAACGTGGTGTTGGAAATATTTTATTTATATATTTAATTGTTTAAGCTTATGTTCATTTATTTTCTTTTATTCTCTATTAATGAGAGAATTAAGTATTTTTATTGTATTCTCATTATATAAACCAGCATTTGGCTGAGGAATCAAATTACAAGAGCTTCCATCTATTTCTTCCAATATGGTATTGAGAGCTCTAGGTTAGAATTACCGTAAGGGAAAAGAGTTGTTGTGTTGGGCAGAGCAAAGGGAATTATGAAAGATAAGCCCATACAACAACTCTTTGGCCTTGGGCAGAGCGAAGAGCTTAAAACACAACAAAAGAGAAATTACTTTGATAAATGAACAATAACAGGAACATTGACAACACTCCAATTCTGGGCTACCGCTCCATGCGTCACAAAGTCAGACTGATCTTCGTCAGACTGATCTTCGTCAGACTCGTCTTCAAGTATAGTGTTGACTTTAGGTGGATAGATAATCCCTCCGCTACGGAAAACCTCTTCGTTAGGTGGAATAATTATGCTTTTTGTAGCAGGCTTGTTGAAGTTGACAACTGAGAAATCAAGGCCCTCTTTGTTTCTGTTTTCGAGAAAAGACAAAACTTGCTCACATCCTTCTTCTTGAGAACCACTCTCTATAATACGTTGCACGTCCTTGAAAGATGAAATAGAGACTCCACTCTTCTTGGCACTACTACCAGCAATTGAAAGACTCTGGAACTGGGTTCCTACTTCTTCGTCTGCATCAATGTATGAGAAGGAAGAGATATGACTTACCACCAAAGCTTTTTCCCCACAAACTGTAATCAACTTCCATTCACTAACAAACTTTAGTTTTTTGTACAATGTAGACATGACCGCTCTAGCCTCACGTATCCATGGCCTACCTAACAATCAGCTGTTGGCAGCACGAATGTCCATGACCTGAAAAGTGATTTGAA